TCTAAAACCAAGACAACAGTGCATTAGTGTTCGCAATAAAGCTAACAGAATTCTTGGCGTCATATCTAGAAGTATAAATAATAGAAGTCCTCAAGTTGTTCTTCAACTCTATATATCATTGATTAGGCCTCATTTAGATTATGCTGCTCCGTTTTGATCACCATATTACAGAATGGATATAAATGCTCTGGAAAACGTACAGAGGAGGATGACAAAGTTGATCCCCGTGTATCAGAAATCTTCCCTATGAGGATAGACTGAGTGCCCTGAATCTGCACTCTCTCGAAAGGGGTAGAATTAGGGGGATATGATCGAAGTGTATAAATGGAAAACAGGAATAAATAAAGGGGATGTAAGTAGCATGCTGAAAATTTCCAGACAAGACAGGACTCGCAGCAATGGTTTCAATTTTGAAAAATTCAGATTCAGGAAGGATATGGGAAAGCACTGGTTTTGTAATAGAGTTGTGGATGAGTGTAGTTTTAAAAATAGGTTAGATAAGTACACGAGTGGGTGTGGGTGGGAGTTGGACCTGACTAGCTGCTGGGTCTGGTGCCGTGCTCTTTCCTTGAGTGGTGGTGACCAGACTGGGTGCGTCATTGGACCTATCGGGGGGGGAAGGACATGGACCTCCTCTGCATGGGTCAGTAGGCTTGCTGCAGTGTTTTTTCTTTATGTTATGTGTTAGTGGGGTTGTGATGGGTGGTGAGGGTTGTGATGGGTTGTGTTGGGTGGTGGTGGGGGATGTGATGAGTTGTGGTGGGGGTTGTGTTGGGTGTTGGTAGGGGTTGTGATGGGTGGTGGTGACGGTTGTGATGGTGGAGGTGGGGGTTGTGATGGGTGTTGAGGGTTGTGATGGTGGTGGTGAGGGTTGTGTTGGGTGGGGGGAGGGCTGTGGGGTTGGTTTAGGGTGTTTAGGTTGTGATGGGGGTGGTTGGGGTTGTGTTGGGTGGTGGTGGGGGCTTGTGAGGGTTATAATGGGGTGTTGGGGTTTGTGGTGGTGGGGGGTAGGGGGGGGGGTTGTGTTTGGGGGGTGGTGGGGTTTGGGGGTGGGTTTGAGGGTTGTGTGGGGTGGTGGTGGTGGTGGGGTTGTGATGGTGTGGGGGGGTTGTGTTTGGGGGTGGTGGGATTGTGATGGTGGTGGAGGTTGTGAGACCTTTTTTGTACATGATGGGTGTATTGTCTATCACAAATTAGGTGATAAATCTTATCTCGACAAATGCCCAGCATATAGTGCCGAAGACATTATGCTTATAAACTTCATTAATTAACAAAACTGATATAAATTTTTTCTGGTCATTTTGTCCAAACCTCATAATCACTGTAGGCCTCAAATTATACTGGAATCCGCATAAGGTCATTAAATATTTTAGACAGAAATGCACAGGAATAATTTTTTAAACACGAATAGAGACATTCTCTTTCAGTTGGCGCTTTTGACTGTGTCGTCCAGGAGAAGACATGTCGACTGTCTCATGAGACAACCTCATGAATGTTGAGCAGTACTCTGAAGCATGTTCTATCACACCCACACCCAGCTGTCACTGCACTACGAGACCCAGCTGTCACTGCACTACGAGACCCAGCTGTCACTGCACTACGAGACCCAGCTGTCACTTCAATATGAGACCCAGCTGTCACTGCACTATGAGATCCATCTGTCACTGCACTATGAAACCCCAGCTGTCACTGCACTATTAGACCCCTGCTGTCACTGCACTATGAGACCCCTGCTGTCACTGTACTATGAGACCCAGCTGTCACTGCACTACGATACCCAGCTGTCACTGCACTATGAGACCCAGCTGTCACTGCACAATGAGGCCCAGCTGTCACTACACTACGAGATCCAGCTGTCACTATATTGAGACCCATCTGTCACTGCACTGTGAGACAGCTATCACTGCACTATGAGACCCAGCTGTCACTACACTATGAGACCCAGCTGTCACTGCACTGAGACCCAGCTGTCACTGCACTGAGACCCAGCTGTCACTGCACTATGATACCAGCTGTCACTGCACTTTGAGACCCAGCTGTCACTACACTATGAGACCCAGCTGTCACTACACTATGAGACCCAGCTGTCACTATACTGAGACCCATCTGTCACTGCACTATGAGACCAAAGCTGTCACTGCACTGAGACCCAGCTGTCACTGCACTGAGACCCAGCTGTCACTGCACTATGAGACCCAGCTGTCACTGCACTGAGACCCAGCTGTCACTGCACTATGAGAACCAGCTGTCACTGCACTGAGACCCAGCTGTCACTGCACTATGAAACCCAGCTGTCACTTCAATATGAGACCCAGCTGTCACTGCACAATGAGACCCAGCTGTCACTACACTACGAGATCCAGCTGTCACTATACTGAGACCCATCTGTCACTTCACTGTGAGACCCAGCTGTCACTGCACTATGAGACCCAGCTGTCACTGCACTATGAGACCCAGCTGTCACTGCACTGAGACCCAGCTGTCACTGCACTATGAGACCCAGCTGTCACTGCACTATGAAACCCAGCTGTCACTGCACTATGATACCAGCTGTCACTGCACTATGACACCCCAGCTGTCACTGCACTATGAGACCCAGCTGTCACTACACTATGAGACCCAGCTGTCACTACACTACGAGATCCAGCTGTCACTATACTGAGACCCATCTGTCACTGCACTATGAGACCCAGCTGTCACTGCACTATGAGACCCAGCTCTCACTGCACTGAGACCTCAGCTGTCACTGCACTATGAGACCCAGCTGTCACTGCACTATGAGACCCAGCTGTCACTGCACTATGAAACCCCAGCTGTCACTGCACTATTAGACCCCAGCTGTCACTGCACTATTAGACCCCTGCTGTCACTGCACCATGAGACCCAGCTGTCACTGCACTATGAGACCCATCTCTCACTGCACCATGAGACCCCAGCTGTCACTGCACTATGAGACCCATCTGTCACTGCACCATGCGACCCCAGCTGTCACTGCACCATGAGACCCCAGCTGTCACTGCACTATGAGACCCATCTGTCACTGCACCATGAGACCCAGCTGTCACTGCACCGAGACCCATCTGTCACTGCACCATGAGACCCCAGCTGTCAATGCACTATGAGACCCATCTGTCACTGCACCATGAGACCCCAGCTGTCACTGCACATGAGACCCATCTGTCACTGCACCATGAGACCCAGCTGTCACTGCACTATGAGACCCATCTGTCACTGCACCATGAGACCCCAGCTGTCACTGCACTATGAGACCCATCTGTCACTGCACCATGAGACCCCCTGTACGGGGACCATGAGACCCCAGCTGTCAATCCTATGAGACCCCCTCTGTCCTGCACCCTGAACCCAGCTGTCACTGCCCCCTGAGCCCTTGTCACTGCACCCTGAGACCCGTTTCACTGCACTATGGGCCCATCTTCCCCTGCCCCATGAGACCCACCTGTCACGCACTTGAGACCCATCTGTCATCACCATGAGACCCCAGCTGTCAATGCACATGGCCCATCTGTCACTGCACCATGAGACCCAGCTGTCACTGCACCAGAGGGCCCCTCTTCCCCTGCCCTGAGCCCCCGTTGTCACTGCCTTAGACCCCTCTGTCACTGCACATGAGACCCCCTGTCATGCATATGAGACCCCCTGTACTGCACCATGAGACCCCAGCTGTCACTGCACTATGAGACCCATCTGTCCTGCACCTGAGACCCAGCTTCAAAGCACTATTGACCCTTGTCACTGCCCATGAGACCCCAGCTGTCACTGCCCAAAAAGACCCATCGTCACGCACCTGGAACCCCGTCACTGCACTATAACCCATCTGTCACTGCCCAGGGGCCCCCCGCTGACTGCACTTGAGACCCCTCTGTCACTGCACCATGAGGGCCCAACTGTCAAAGCCCCCCAAAAGACCCATTTTGTCACGCACCCATGAGACCCCCGCTGCAATGCACCATGAGACCCCCTCTGTCACTGGGCCATGGGAAACCCCCTTTTCCCCTGCACTATTAGACCCATTTGTCCCCTGCCCCCAAAAAAAACCCCCCTGTTTACCTTTCACCATGGGACCCATCTGTCACTGCCCATGGACCCCCCGCCCCCTTTTACTGCACCAGAGAACCCCCCTGTCACTTCATTAAAGAGACCCCCGCTGTCACCCGCACCATGGGGAACCCCCCTGTCACTGCCAATGAACCCCCCTGTACTGCACCAATGAGCCCCAGCTGCCCCTGCAATTTAGACCCCCCGGGCATGGGGACATGAGACCTATGTCACCCCGTCCTGAGACCCCACTGTCCCTGCAAATATGAAAACCCATCTGTCACTTTCACCATGAGACCCCACTGTCACTGGGACCTAAAAGCCAGTCCAATTTTTTCCTTTTAGTTTCAAAATGTGTGTTATTCTTTATTACTGGGACGACCCGGGGTCCATGCTCCCCTTTTCCTAGGGTGTTTTAAAAATACTTTATAGGGCTTCTTTGGTTTCTTGATGAACCGAGTTCCCCGGGTCTGGGCTGGGGGCAGAGTGCACGGCCATGTCATTTACCGCATTTTCGAAGTCATTTTGCGTCAGGAAAATATCAAATAGTTTTTAGTCTACCAAATTGTGTGTCTCGCTCATGTATCTGACAAGTTTTACGTGAATACTATACAATACCTACAAGATGAAAAATTAAACACGTGCAACATCTGGGTATCTTTATTTGTAGACGTTCCGCCATCCAGTGACTTTATTAACACAAGAAGATTGTCGAACTAAATACACTTACACGTACTTAAACTTTTAGTAGTGATTAAGTACAAATTAAAGTATTAAATCTAAAACTTTTTTCATAATGAAAAAACAATATATATATATATATATATATATAATATATATATAATATATATAATATATATATATTAATATATATTATATATATATATTTATATATATTATATAATGATTAAGTAACTAGAGCACAGTAGTATAATGTGACTAACCTTGAAGAGTTTGGGTTTACGTTGGTCAGTAATGTCTACAACATAAACTCTTGATGACCCAAGAGCCGGCAGGATCAACTTGTTACGTACACAGCTTGGATCATCATAGCATGAAGAACATGTGTTGTAGCCGGAGTGATGAATTTCATCGTCAAGATATGGTAAGTACAATCGATGAATCACCTGAAAAAATATATATTTATCATTTGAAAACGGGAAATGTATTGTCCAGAAAAAAAAATGATCTCTTAACAAAAATTAATTTGAATTTAAAGAATCCAGGACTAATAATTCCAATAACCTACAACATTACAGGTGCTCCAGGGAGGTATTACTGTCTAATAACCTACAACATTACAGGTGCTCCAGGGAGGTATTAATGTCTAATAACCTACAACATTACACGTGTTCCAGGGAGGTATTACTGTCTAACCTACAACATTGCAGGTGCTCCAGGGAGGTATTAATATCTAATAACCTACAACATTACAGGTGTTCCAGGGAGGTATTACTGTTTAATAACCTACAACATTACAGGTTTTCCAGGGAGGTATTAATATCTAATAAGCTACAACATTACAGGTGTTCCAGGGAGGTATTAATGTCTAATAACCTACAACATTACAGGTGTTCCAGGGAGGTATTAATATCTAATAACCTACAACATTACAGGTGTTCCATGGAGGTATTACTGACTAATAACCTACAACATTACAGGTGTTTCAGGGAGCTATTAATGTCCAATATCCTATAACATTACAGGTGTTCCAGGGAGGTAATACTGTCTAATAACCTACAACACTACATGTGTTCCAGGGAGGTATTACTGTCTAATAACATACAACATTACAGGTGATCCAGGGAGGTATTTCTGTCTAATAACCCACAACACTACAAGTGTTCCAGGGACGTATTACTGTCAAATAACCTAAAACGCTGCAGGTGTTCTAGTGAGGTATTACTGTCTAATAACCTACAACATTACATGTATTCCAGGGATGTATTACTGTGTAATAAATTACAACATTCATGTGTTCCAGTGAGGTATTACTGTCTAATAACATACAACATTACAGGTGTTCCAGGAGGTATTAATGTCTAATAACCTACAACATTACATGTGCTCCAGGGAGGTATTAATGTCTAATAACCTACAACATTACATGTGCTCCAGGGAGGTATTAATGTCTAATAACCTACAACATTACATGTGCTCCAGGGAGGTATTAATGTCTAATAACCTACAACATTACAGGTGCTCCAGGGAGGTATTAATGTCTAATAACCTACAACATTACAGGTGCTCCAGGGAGGTATTAATGTCTAATAACCTACAACATTACAGGTGCTCCAGGGAGGTATTAATGTCTAATAACCTACAACATTCATGTGTTCCAGTGAGGTATTACTGTCGTTTAACCCACAACATTACAGGTGTTCCAGAGAGGTATTGTCTAATAACCTACAACATTACATGTGTTCCAGGGAAGTATTAATGTCTAATATCCTTCAACATTACAGGTGTTCTATGGAGGTATTACTGTCTAATAATCTACAACATTACAGGTGTTCCAGGGAGGTATTACTGTCTAATAATCTACAACATTACATGTTTTTCCGGGGGAGGAAATTAATTTTCTAATACCCTTTCAACATTACAGGTTTTTCTATGGGGGTTATTAACTGTCAAAAAACCTACAAAATTACATGTTTTCCCCAAGGGGAAATTTACTGCCCTAATAACCTACAACATTACGGGTGTTCCGGGGAGGTATTGTCTAAAAACCTAAAACATTACAGGTGTTCCAGGGAGGAAATTATTTTTCTAATAATCTAAAAACATTACAGGTTTTTCCAGGGGGGTTTATTAATTTCAAACTACCCCAACAACATTACGGGGTTTTCCCGGGAGGTATTAATGTCTAATACCCTTTATTTTAAACGGGTTGTTCCAGGGGGGTTTTTAAATGTCTAAAACCCCCCTACAACATTACGGGTTTCTCCGAGAGGTATAAAGTCTAAAACCCCTCCCACATTGCAGGTTTTTCCAGGGAGGGAATAACAAAAATAAAAAACCCTTACGGGGTTTTACAGGGAGGTTTAAGGTTTAAAAACCAACAAAAACACAGTTTTTTCCATTGAGGTTTTTAACAAACTAATAAAAAACAAAAATCACGGGTTTCCGGGGGAGGAAATTACTGTCTAAAAACCTACATTATCAAAAGGGTTTTCCCCGGGAAGGGTATTACTGTCTAACACGTACACCCTCACAGCTATTACAGGGGGTTAGTACGGGGAGGTTTTAAATTTCTTTTGAAAACAACCCAACAAAAACACATCTCTCTAAACCCCCCTCTCATACCCCTCACACCCTCTAAAAGTTTTTCCCCTCACACCCTCTAAAGTTCTCTCTCACACCCCTCATGTTCTCTCTCACACCCTCTCATGTTCTCTCCCCACACCCTTTTCAGTTCTCTCCCCACAACCCTCTCATTATTCCTCTCACAACCCCTCATTTTCTCTCTCACACCCTCTCTTTTTTTTCTCTCTCACACCCCCCTCATGTTCTCTCTCACACCCCTCAGGGTTCCTCTCACACCCTCTCATTTTCCTCTCTCACACCCTCTCATTTTTCTCTTTTCCCACACCCCCATTTCCTCTAAATTTCCACACCCTAAATGTTCTTTTCTCACACCCTCTCATTTTTCCTCTCTCACCCCCTTTTCCCCATGTTCCCCTCTCACAACCCACCCCCATGTTCTTTTCTCACACCCCTCTAAATTTCCCTCTCCACACCCTCTAAATTTTTCTCTCCCCACACCCCTCATTTCTCTCTCACACCCCTTAAATGTTTCTCTCTCAAAACCCCTCATTTTTCTCACACCCTCTCATTTTTCTCTCTCAAAACCCTCTAAAGTTCTCTCTCCCCAACCCCTAAATTTCCTCTCACACCCCCCCTTTGTTTTTCTCTCACACCCTCTCAAAATTCTCTCTCAAACCCTAAACATTTTCCTGAAAAACCCTCACATATTCTCTCTAAAACCCTTTCTCATGTTTTTTTTAAACACCCTTTCCCCTCTAAACACCCTTCATTTCTCTCCCCAAAACCCTGCATTTTTTCCCTCCAAAACCCTCTCATGTTTTCTTTCACACCCTTCTCATGTTCCTCTCACACCCCTCAATTCTCTCTCAAACCCCACATATTCCTCTGAAAACCCCTCACAAAATTCTCTCTCAAACCCTTTCCCCATGTTCTTTCACACCCTCTTCTCCCCCAAACACCCCTCATATTTCTTTTCAAAAACCCCTCATGTTTTTTCTAAACCACCCTCTCATGTTCCCCCCACACCCCTCATGTTCTCCCCTCACACCCCTCCATGTTCTCTCTCACACCCCTCATGTTCTCTTCACACCCTCCCCTTTCTTTTCTCAAAACCCACTCATGCCCCCCTTTCTAATGGTCACATATTTTCAAAATTTTCTGCCGGGGGTTAAGTATCATGCTCTCCTCACAGTTTTGTCATCCTCTATGGGTTTTTCTGTCACAACTTTTTTTTCTGTTTTTATTTTGATCTTTTTCCACATCTTATCTTGCTCCTCAACATATTTTCATGCTTTCATTACACCTTTATAAATTATATAAATATATATATATATATATAAATATATAAATATATATATTTTAAATATATATATATATAAAAAAATATAATTGTTTTGTGTGTGTGTGGTGGGGTTGTGTGGTGTACTCCCCAAATTGTGGTTGGGGGGGGTCGAAAACCACTCCGGGCCCCGCCCCCCCTTCCCCTAAACGCTACGGATCCTCTCTCTCCTCTTCTTCCTGACTTTGTCAAATACCCTTTTTTAAACAATGAAAGGGTTTCCCTTTGCCTCCACTACTTCATTTGCTGGGGGCAAACCCCACATGCGACAACTCTATGACTGAAGAAATACTTCCTAACGCCCCCTGTGATTTTCCGCCCTGAGTTTTTCAATTTCCAAAGTTGTGACCCCTTGCCCCTTTGGTCCCCCTCGGGAAAAATCCTGCCCTTGCCCCACCTTTTTCTTTTTTCCCCGCAATTAAAAAATCTTGTATGTCGTTATCATGTCTCCCCTGCCCCCTTCTGTCCCCCGTGTCTTTCATTTCCAAATTTCCCCTTTAAACCCTTTTCCCTCGTACGACATTCCCTAGCTCGGGGACTACCCTTTTGTTGAAAACCTTTGTACTTTCTCTCTTCTTGACTTTGCTTGCCCAAAGGTTTGGGTTCCAGACGGGTGCTGCATACTCCGTTTTGGGCCTAACAACACAGTGTACAGGGGTTTTTAAAAACCTTTCCTTAAAAAGGGTATCGAACGCTATTCCCCCAGGTTTGCCAGGTCCCCCCAAATGCGCAGCATTTTTTTTGGGTTGATGGGGGTTCCCCGGTATGTCCCTCGGTGTTATGGTCACCCCAAAGGGTCTTTCCCCGATGAGGTCTGTAGTCTTTGTCTGCGGCCCCTTCTTTGCCCCCCCCCCCAAATCTTCATGATTTTTCCCTTTGGGGGTTTTGGGAACTAGAGAACCAGTTCTGGACCACATTCCCCGTTCATGCCCTCTTTCAGCCCTCCCTCACCCTCTTTCCATTTAATTTTCTCATAAATTTTCCGTCATCTGCGAACAGGGACACTTCAGAGTCTTTTCCTTCCATCGGGGGGGGGGTTTTCACATATATAAAAAAATAGCACGGGTCCTAGAACGACCCCGTGGGAACCCCTCGTAAAAAGGCCCACTGTTTTTAAACCCTTCACGAAACTTTTGACTCTTTCTGCCACCCCTGTCAGGTTTTCCCCTTATCCATTGCAGTGCCCCCCCTTTTTAAACGTGCGCCTACCCCTCCAGCCCTTCTGCACTAATCTCTTTTTGGGGAACTGGGTCAAAGGCCTTCCTGCAGTCAGGAAAACGCCCTCTCCCCCACCCCTCTCTTTTGTGTTTTAATTCCCTTTTTACCTTGTCAAAAAACCCTTCCGGGATTTTTTGTGTTTACAAATTTCCCTTCCATAAACCCCATGCAATTTTTCTTTTATAACCCTTTTTCCCTTTCCAGGTGTTCGCCCAAATCTCCTCCTAAAAAATTTTCTCCTTTGACTTTGCACACAATACTTTCCCAGAGACACGGGTTTCCTGAAAAGTTTATTGCCTCTTT